TGTACAAATGGAACATAAAGCCTTGGAGCAACACTGGAACGGAGATGCCTAACGGGTTTAACGACTTGCAAATTTAAATGGGAGGGCCAGTTATCAGAATACAGTGCTTTAAAAATAGTCTTTAGTAGTGAGTAGTCCCTCATAACTAAAAATGAGTATGAAAGGTTGACAAATGGAGGGGTGGACGAGGGTAGTTGGAGTCCGAGTAGGGTGCATCATCGCCTCGAATATTTATCTATGGCTGGAGATTTGAAAACTTGGATTTCAATCATTTTCACGCAGCCAAATCGAAATTGCATTGAGAGAAAAAAGAAACAATTAATTTCTCAAGCATATAATTCCATGCACGTCCGGCAACTGCAATGGCGAAAAAAGAATCGTTGGCGACCTAGCGAATGCCCCTAGTTGTTAAAAGACTAGTAAAATACACCAATCGATAGAGCGTCAAGTTTTATCACACGACTCGAGAGGAAATATTCCAATTACATGAACCGCGACCGCGGGAAAGCTTTGACTGCGTATGGCGTCCATGACAACGGAAATCCAAGTGTCCAATCAGCGTTCAGAAGAGAACAACCAGGCTTCGCATCGCATACTTCGCCGAAAGTGACTGAGGAAACTGAACGCAACATGGTGTATAGTTCGGCTTATAGAAGGGCCTACAGAAAACCTCTGTGGGATGATTACGGCAAAGAAGAATTTATTAGCAAGTTGCAGTATAGGTCAGATCGAAGGTCAATAGAACATCGTCATCAGCCTTGGGGATGGGACAGCGAAGAGGAAGATGTGGAAGAGATTCCGGCAGACGATGGCAGTTATGATGGGGGACGCCGTGACTTTCATTTGGACGAGAAAAAAGCTGATAAAAGACCGCCAAAGAACGCTTGGGAAGAAAAGAAAGATTTCAGAGAGAACGATGATGCTGGATGTGGCTTACCTTTGCCTGAAAGACTAAAATTTGATGAGGGAGAGACAGAAGAAAAACCAAAACATACAAGATCTGCTGAGGACGCGAGACCAAAGGAAGGTGAGTCTCGTGGTCGCAAATATCACAGACATAAACATCACAGATCGTCGAGAGATAAAAAGAAACAGCAATCGCGCTCAAATTCACCGGATAAAAATCCAATCTCTGGGGATAGAGGAGAGAAAGCGCCTTTTCTACCTTACGGAATGGCTAACGAAGGACCTGTAGACATGTGGAAAACTCATAATGTGCTGGCTTCACAACCAGAGGTGAGTAAACAATATCGATTTTAGCTAATTAAACAGTCTATCTGCAGTGGAAATGTTGTCGGGAGGTAATATCAACGGTAACCTTTCAAGCATACATTTTGATCTTCTACGAGGCAAAATTATCAGCAAATGAATTCCAAGAGGATATCAAGAGTGCGACTTCAGAACTTGTGAGTTTATTTCTTTTTGTAAATTAATGAACAAACTTTTGGAGTGCAGTGAATGTTAACAATTTATTCAAGCGCTAAAGGCAAAAAAAATTTTTCTTGATGTACTGAACACTTTTGCTTCTTAGATATAGTTTTCAAGTCTCTGTGCTGTTTCTTCTAGTTAGTTTTAAAAATGTACTCAAGAAATCACCCCTCAGTTGATCTATTTCCTTGAGATCTTCCCCTCACCTTTTTACTAAAAAATATATTGAAAGTTGTTAGGGAAAGTTCTTTTATGATAAATCCTGGGACTAAATTGGTTTCTCTCAGTGATATTCCATCCTTTCTTTTCCTATTTTTTTTTCTTTTTTTAATTACTTTGTCATTGATGTTGTTTTTGTTGCTTTGTGAAGTAAAATTAATAATATTTGAGCGGAGTTGTCAATACATGTGTCTCACTACTCTTTGCATGTTCATGGAAAAGGTCTTCAGACTCGCTCTAACGTGGCACAATAATTAGCCAAGCTTATGAATGGAACATTTGAAAAGTAAACTTGAGTTTGCAGTGCTTGTCTTTGCCTTGCATTCTGTTGCTGTAATTAGTGTTTTTGCTTTTCTTGGGGGCAGAAGGAGTGGAAATTTAGTTGCACTATTGTTTATGTGGAAATGATCATTTGCCTCCTGGCACATTTTGGCTATGAAAACACCACCTATTTGCTAATGGTTGCACTCTACAAACGACTTAAAACATTATTCACAACCAGATAATATAGAATGTGTGATGGGTAAATAGTAGTTTGGATAATTGAGAGTTTAGATAATTGAAAAGTCTGGATAATATGACGGTGCGGATAATCCAGGTTCGACTGTATTGAAAAAGTTTTGGATCTTTTTTCAGGTGTATCCTGCTGCTCTTCGTGCACAGAAAAGGAGACAACAAGAGATTAAAAAGAAAGCTCAACTCCGAGAAGAAGCAGTGAAGAGGAAGGAAACGCCAGCACATTTTGATGCAGATGTTGCATTTCCTAAAACCTGGTGGATGACAGAGTACCAAAGAAACTTTTGTAAAGAAGAAGATGTCAAGAGACGCTTTTTGAGATAACATGTGAAGTACATTAAATGGCTGTATGCGTGACATTTCAGTGTGTGTCAACCATCACAGTCAAAAGTATTTGTTCCTAACAATAGAGAACAGTGATTATGACAGCCATGCTGTACTACTTGATCAAGCAAACTGGTGCAAACTACATGGGCTGAAAATAGATGCATAGATTTAAACATCTGTCAGCAGCTTTTTTAAATGTAGTCTGTGCTTCAAAAGAGTAATCATTTTTTACTCAATTAAACTTGAAAATTTTGTGAAATAACCTGACATGAATGCCGTTTGATTATCTGTTAATCCCCTAGTGCTGCATGGCGCATCCTTCCTGCCTATCTATATGAAGAGTTTTCATAGGAACATTTCCGCAAGCAGCTTTTGTTACCAAGTTTCACGGGTGAGGTAAGCTTTGATGCTCTTAAGTACAGCAACTGTAACCACCTCTCAATTACTTCACTTCTTTGGTAAGAACTGTGTTTTACCGAAAAGAAAGCATTACTAAATCAGCAAAAGCCTATTGCTTAAATGCATGAGGCAATGTACAGTAAGATTAAATCAAGGAGCCATATGGCAAATGTATAATGTTTGCCAGTGCCATACCACAGAAACTAACACAATGTCCTCCTCCCCTCTTTTATGGCAATTTACGTAATTGTTACATATCTTTGCAGTAATTGATTTTTGCAATTGTCGAAAAATCACAAAATTAATGTAGATAATATTAGATTTGTGAAAATTAACCTTGCAAATTTCATACACTTCACTAGCAGTGAGGAAAAGTGGTATGTTTCCAAGAGATGGAAGAAAGCAGGAATTGTTGGCGTAGTTAACGGTTAGTCAGCTATTCCTCTTGAGGATCCGGTTCAAAGAAATTGACTGTGTCCTTCAGCTTACAGCTGTTTGTCACGCACTCTTGATTTCTGTAGCTCTGCTTTGTCGCAAAGGAACATCAATTGTTTCCTGTTTTGTTTTGTTACAATATGGTTCGTTCAGTGGTAGTAGAAACTGTTATGGAAAATTAAAATCAGTTGTGTCAGTTCTGAAAATCAATTTTTGCAAAATTGAGTTCCTTATAATAAATAAATTTTTGGCCAAATTAGGAAATGAAAATCCTGTGAAATTTACCAGTATACCTATTCCATTTCTGCATCATTAAGTTCCCTTAGTGACAATACTATGTACAATGTATATCACTTTCACATGCTCTGATAGTGTCCAAAGTTTGAGGAGAAATCGGAAACAAGGCCTATTACAACCCTTGATTGACTATTAAGAGTGACTGGTATCTAATTTTTCCTTACAATATCACCCCCTAAATCAAACATAACTTTGTAAGAATAAAGGGAATTGACACTAGCTAAAGTTGAACAAATTTTCCGAGTCAGTCCCATGGCAAATGTATGAAACAGTGTGGACCAAATGTACACTAATGTTGGGGTGTAGAAGGTTAGGACAGCATGTACACGTCAGTACACATGCCTTGATCTACAAGCACAAACAGTCAACACAAAATTTTTTTTTTTTTTTTAAAGAGTAAGATGTTATTTATTAAATCCACATTACATCCTTACTAATGAGAAATTTAATTTTATTATTTACACTGAAAAGTATTGTTGCAAAGTTGTGCTGCTCACACAACAGAACTACAGATGGCAAGTTTAACTTCAGAGACTGATTCTGCATGATTAGTCTTGACTTATGGTGGTTGTATTTCAAGCATCGGTGTGTCATGGATGTGAAAAATGTGACATATTTGGAGCTGCAAAAACCTGAGCCCAATCCTCATTTACTCCCACGCCAGGCATTTTATAACTGCTACAGTAAAAATATGTCTAGTATGTCCTGGAGTAGAGAGCTTTTTTCTATCTCAATATTAAATATGTGACAAAGTGATGAAGGAAGTTTTCTTTATTTTATGTATTTCATTCTGGTCTCCACTAATTTTTATAAATTCTGTGGTCACTGTGTTAGCTATAACCGAAATACTTTTACAAGGACCTTACCAATGTACATAACAATGTTTTTTTTCCTTCTCTATCACAGTCTGTAACTGTAACTGGTGTAAATGTGTCTTGAGTTCCCAACAAAAAGAAAAAAGGAAAGAGGCACTAAAATCAAACAAAGTCTTATATACTACCCCTTATTTTGGTGCAAGAAAATTAACAACAAAATAATAATTAGTGGTAGCATATTTAGCAAAGCCAAATTTGACTGAAGAATTTGACCCATGTTCACACCAAATCAGGTACATCCTTATGATGGCAATTATTAATTTTTTCTCTCCACATTGTTTCTAAATTAGAAAGTCACTACACAGACTAAAATGTTTAAAAAATGAAGTCCTATTTGAATAAATAGTACACAGTGTAGCATGACATTGACAATTTAACAATCAAGGCTGAAACAGCTTGACAAGTCTTGCAAAACTATGAGACGATCCTTGAAAAAATCAAAAACAGTAACCTATTTAAGAATGTCAAGTGAATATGTCTGAGGTGTGACAAACAAGCATTGTTTGATTTCTTGTTCAGGCTAATAATTGATGAAAACTTTAAAAACTTCCAAACATTTGTAACAAAGACACTTGAAAAGTTCTCTAAATGTCAATTTTGCAGTGCATGTACCAAAACCAGGCTAAGATCACTCAGACAATCAGAAAACAAAAAGGCTAATTTACAGGCTTTTGATCTTACTTAAACCCCTACAAGTGACTGGTATCCAATTACTTCTTAGAGTATTCCTAATACCCCTGAATCAAACATACAATTAACCAAGACTTAATGAAATGATTGTCAGCAAAAAAAGCCTATGATTGCTAAACAAATTCTCTTTAAAACCTCCAGAGAACAGTATGAGGAATATGATTAGTGATATTAGAGAATAAAGGGTTTGTATGCAACAATTTAAACTCTGCATGAACTTATTGTGTTGTTCAGCCAATGCCGAGTAGCAACTGATTACAGCATGTTCTTCAGTATAAACTCTTGCACCCTGCAGGCTACAATGAAAGACAAACGAGATCACATAACAGTCAAGCAAACATCACTAGTCAGCGCATTGATGTCCATTTGATTAGTTGCATCTAAAAATGTCCGAATCGTTTGTTTCAGTTCCTCAGACTGGTTTTCATTGACCTGGTGGCACCAGTCCCAGTAAATGTAGATCTACTGTGACTCTAAAACTTATTGGCAGCTGGGGCTGTATTGACATTGTTCTACAAAAAGTTTACAAGGAATCACTAAACCATCTTTACTCAAGAGCAAAGGATTGTTCAATATCATGTTTGTTGTAAGTTAAGTTGTATTCACCATGCAGGATTATTTATCAAGCTTTTAAAGACAATGGCCCCCTAGATGTGCACACCCACAGCAATTACAAGTCTATCATACATCACTTTTAGTAAATCACAAAAGTTTTCTGTTCAACTAAATATCCAAGCACAACAAAGTCTTTTTACTATTGTGGTAAGATTGGGTTGAGACTGAGATTAGCATGCACATTTCTGCCGTTCTTCCTGTCTTCCAGGCCGTATAGATCTTCGGAGTGATGGATCTCCGTACTGAATTCCCGACCCCATCCTGTCCGGGTCCAGTTCACCTGCAGAACACAGCAATTACAATTAATTGTATTACATGTACTAGTAATATACTGTACATGTACTGTATAGTTTTAGATATGCTTTTACTTATCAGATTATTAGACTTTGAATCTGTTCAGATTTGACTC